GGCAACCACTTTAGTTGCAATCGGTATGCAGAAACATGGTCGTATTTACGCAGGTTGAAAATGAATCGAATACAGTTATTCAGAAGGCGGTCCAGTTTATTGATGAGATCTGCATTCAGGTCGTAGTAGCAAACATCAGCATAGTCAATGATAGGGAAGACCAAGGAACGGACAAGCATTATCTTGGTGGAGGACGGAAGAAAATTTTTAAGGCGATACAAAGACCGAAGCGTGCCCGTCACCCGTTTACAAACACCAGCGATCTGAACACGCCAAATCAAATTATTATCGATGTGCAGTCCCAGATCCTTCACGTCACTGCTGAGCGAGATAATCGCACCATCATATAGAAGCGGCGGCACTGCTGCGCTGTCGATTCTACCAAAGGTGCGGGAACTTCCCAGGATTATTGCCTGGCATTTACTGGGATTCACTGCTATACCGAAACTTGTTGACCAATCGTTCAAGGCAGCCAGGTCCGCATTTAACCTTGAGATCGCATCGGGCAAATCTTCCACTCTAGCCTGGCAATACAACTGCAAGTCGTCGGCATAGATGGTACGCACACTGAAGTTCGGAAGTGACACGATTTATAAAAGTTGAGAATAGAAGAGGAGAGAGAATTCCGCCTTGAGGAACGCCAGCAGTCAATTGGCACCAGCTCGATGACGTATCGCCAACCTGGACCAACTGCTGACGCTCGCGAAGATAGGAAGAGAACCATTCCAGTGCGTCATTAGATACCGAAACCTGGGAGAGGATCGCTAACAGGATATCATGATCGACCATATTGAATGCATTCGAGAAGTCCACCAAAACCAACACAGTGACTTTGGTGTCCTCCATCCCTGCCTTCACATCACCGATAACTTTCAGCAATGCGGTAGTGGTGCTGTGTCCAGGCCTAAAACCAGATTGGTATGGGCTTATTAGCGAGTTCCGGTGCATAAAACTTGAGAATTGCCTATGGACACAGGCTTCCAGGACCTTTGACAAAAAGGGAAGGATTGATATGGGACGAAATTGGGTCAGGAGGGTGGGATTAGGTATTTTAGGAAGGGGGCGGACATAGGCTTGACGCCACAACGATGGGAAAACTCTGGAATGTAGGGTCTATACTACCTTAACCAGAATTTTATTCGACTTCATCTTCCATATTGGTCTTTGTAGTTGGATTTATAAACATATACCTCTTGGGTCGGGCTTATTTCGCTTGGCCTTCAGTAGGTAGATATTGTCTGTCCGACAATAGTGATATGGACGAAAAGGGAGGAAGAAATTGTGATTGGATGATTTATTTAAAACACCAGAAGAATGACAAGTCTGGTAACGCGCTTGTAATACCTCTGGTGCTTGGAGTGGCCATAGGAGGCGCCCGTGTCCATAAAAAAAAGATGACACAGGATTCGGAGCGGATATTTTTGAGCTCTTAAATTCGTTATAGAACGACTAAGATTTAGTATTATTAAAAAGTTTCATTGGGTTTTTAATAAAAAATTCAGTCAGTGAATAGTCGTCTCATACTCTCATAGAGTTTAATACAATATCTAATCTAACTAACTCATAATTACGATGATATCAAACTGTCTACCCTCTCATAGACAATAACCGTGATATTACCATCCCATGACAACGTAGTTAGCAACATAAACTACATATTTCAAGCCAATCAAATTACTGCACGTACCTATAAAATCAATAATCTTGCAATCACGGCGCATGATCTAGCACGCCTCAGGTAGATACACGATTGAGGGGGCGGGGGGTGCAACCCCCCTTATAAAGGGGGTTAGGGGTGAAGGCTGAAAGGGGTTGTTAATTCGCTTGTGTCCGGCAACGTATTTTCCAAATGGATGTTGCTTATACGAGGTGTACTAAAATGGAATATCATAAAAAACTAAGTAATATGGCAATGGTTTTTGAATCACACTTATTTGTAGAAATAGGTGTGGTTTACCAACGATAACAATAGACACCAGCAAATTTTTTAATGGGACAAACCTACCACAACCACCCAAAACTGCTGCAACTCCAGTAAGCCAGGATCTACAGTAGATACAACCATAAAAATACCGGAACACTGAAGTCCGGCGCGTTCCAGGGACATAAGTAACTGTCTTGGATTCCGAACGAAATTAATCAAAAGATATTGTAAGGGGAGAACGTTAGATATTTTCCACCAGCTAGGCTATTTTGTAACTGACAATTCCAACTTTTGGAGTGAGCTCGATTGCATTCTCGCCCGTCATTGGTCGAGGTTATTATTATAACCAATTACATGGTGGACCGCGATTGAGTTCACTTCGGTCTTAAGTTGCAGAATAGCCTAGCAGAAATCGAACTTTTTGGTTTAAAGTAACCATTAGGTACTAGCTGAATTAATTAACAGTAAATCAAATGAAATAAAAATTTAATCATTATAACATTAACTTTGTAAGTACAGGCGTTCTATATTAACTCCTCTTTAATATTAAACGATATCTATAGCATTTCCGATACACCCTGTCACCCCCTCTGTTGCATGGAGTGAGTTGTGAAGGGTGGCTTATAGAGGGTGAAGGGGGACGATGAAAGAGGGTGTTAATATCCGTGTATCGGTAAAACCGGACATGTTATGTAGTTTCTAGATAGATTTTATTTATCTAGCAGATGTATTGTAGCGGATAAGGTGAAAATCGCTGTCATTGTCGGTACTTACCAAAGTACCAACAATGACAGCGATTTTGAGTACCTACTCAGGCGTGTATTCGTGATATGATATGCAGTTATTACATTTACCTTTTTTGTAATAGACTATTCGTAGTTAAGCATGTTAACATAATTGTCTTCAAAATAAGAGAAAGCAATACTGATATCATTTTAACTATGACTTAATGATTATGATAATTCTTTATTTATAGCCACTGTCCCTTGTCTAGGCAATTTCATCTTTACGCACAAGGCTAGATGTTGGTATTTGATTTTATGATCGGAAATAGCACTTTTATGTTCATTTTAATTAATAAGGAATAAGTTGGTTGTCTGCGATAATGGACTCGAACTTTATTAAAATAGCAAATTGGTTCTAAGATCAACAAAGATTGGGTGTGCCACTTCTAATCGGTAGGAATAGAGTACATAACTAAAAAGCTTTTAAGTTTTTTTTTAATTGTTTTGGAAATTTTGTATGGATTAGGTAATCTCTTAAGTTATTTTTAGCAAAGCTTTCTAAGTCAAGTGATATCTAAGAACGAAGTGCCTACACAAATAAGGACCCATTATATGACCTTGTGGCACACCGATATTGCTTCGAAATTAACTAAATGTCTTCCTTTAAAAGTTCATTCTAGAATCAGTTCTAGAAACAACCCTAACATAGTCCAGTTAAAAACAAAAAATAAACTACAAGCATGGACTTGATTAAAAAATAGCAGCTAGATTGAAACGCAGCGAATCAAAAGTCTACGTTGGGGTCGGGAGGGTTGGGATGGGTGGCCGGCTTCCATCCCTATCAAAGTACCTATATATCAAAATGTATGCTGTAAAATCAATAACCGTTGCATCTAGAGCGCATGTCCTAGATTACCTGAGTGTAACCGGGAGTCGCATTTAGGACGTCCTGAGCGATACTTGTTGCTCTATCGATTGTCCGTCACCGCGGTCCTCAGAGATTTATCTCAATTCATCTCAGTACTTTCGCATCTTCAATTATTCAAAGTTTTTGTTAAAATTGTGGACATGAGTGGATCAACGTTCGTGTTCCGTCGCCGACCTGATCAACGCCAAGTACGTATCCTTGCTGTCATTTCTTTCGTGATGATTCGTGATTAATTAATTTAATTAATATTTTTCAATTTCTGTTAACAGTGATAGATTTATTTATTTGTGTTAGTAGACGTACTACCAGAAATGTTTTAGTTTAATTGCGGTGATTAATTAATTAAATTCTTAAATAAAAAAAATAATATATGTTATCGATTTTTTGCGCGAGGGTGGGCTTTTGTGAGATCAGTGTCAAATCAAAGTGAATTTATATCACCACCTACTGAAAATTAATTGAAACCAGAATCCTAGCGGTAAAATTGACGAGTAAAGGACGTGGGAATTTCCTTGGGCGTTTTCGGAAATTTCCAGATGCGTAGGCTGCAAACCAAGATGGCGCTTGCGTAGCAATCGATAAGCGCCGCGCAGTAGCTTCCACAACGCCTAACGCAACGGCGCATGCCCTAGGCTTTTAGGGCATGCGTCGTGAGAACATCAAAATTGATTTAGTAGTTCTAGACTCTTCGAAACGCAGCTCGGAAGAGGAAACAGTGGGGGCGGGGTCATTTTATAATGGACGATATTTGAAACAAAGAAATAACATGCATATGATTGAGCAATTTTAAATGAAACGTTATCGTAGATTCTGAATATTCGTTTTAAAACTGTTGTATTAAGGATTCTTGATATTTTAAATCTCTTGTAGACATTTCTTTTGGTAATATTACGTCAAAACCAAACCAAAATATGGCGGCCAACCGCCATGAGATGCACCTACTGCGCAGGTCTATGCGCAGTTACGTAACAACCAAAGCCACGTATTGCATTCAAGTTCTTTGTTCTCACATGTACTGAATTATATATTTAAACTTGAGAATTAACACATGATAGTAATGAATAATTAATGCATTAGTAAATTATGCGAAATTATAGACTGGTGTCTGTTATCTACGTCTTTGTTTAATGAAGAAATACTTGATATTGATTTGGCCAAAATGGCGGAACGTCATCGGTGTCTTCAATGGAGATAGAGACACGCCTATCCCTTTTTGTAAAATATTTTATGTAACTTAGGTACTTACTAGTTATGTTATGTATCTAATCATTGATGATGCACTTAATTACAGTACACAGGGCATGGAAGGATTTTTACTTCAGATTGAGAATTTAATGATTGAAAATACCACAAAATTCTTCCTCTTTTACAAAGAGTTCTTTGAAGCTTCCTCAATATCTGAAGAACTTTGTTTGTTTGTCAGAGTTCGACCAGCAATACCGCTTCCACGCTGCCATGCTGGGCAAACCGGAGCTACCTGCGTGGCTTCATTATATCTACAGCGGACGACACCACTCAGGGTTCATCTTCGGAACGCCGCCGCGAGGGAGCCGAGGCTCCCTCCAGGTAAATACCGAATCTCTTACCTTATCATTCTTTCATAACCATTGTTAAATCCAGTGTATCCGACCGCTGCCAAGTCTTCAGAATTGTATTGCGAACCTGATTGAAAAAGAGTAACCTATGGAGTTTCTTGCTCGTTCTTCTCTATAGGTATCTACACATTGGAATGAGCAAATAGCTTCACTTTTAATTTTGTTTGTTGACGTTCAAAAGTGCCTTTCTGGGCTAATTGATATAATTGATTTTTACTTGACTTGACTAAAAGATTTTGAATGAATCTACCTAATAAATCTTTCTTGTATTACAGATCGAAATAATCGGCTTAAATAGACAGGACTACGAGACGCGACGGGTGTTACTGACGTTGGACATACAGCTGAAGGAAAAGATGGCACGCCATGAGGTCGAGCTCAAGATCGATAACCTGAATGTAGAAGATCTTTTGGATGAGCACAAGTAAGTAGAAATGTTCATTTATAAACAAGTCTTTGAAGGCTACCGGGACACAAGTCATTGGTCACAAATGAAGAAGAATTAGTAGAAATTTCCATGCCCATACCCATGCAGTTCAGAATGACCGGATCTTGGCGAGTAGAAAGCTGTATGGCACTTGGTAGATCAATTGATAGTATAACTTAACAACTATGGGAGAAAGTTTTTAGTCTGTATTAGAAAAATATTTTTATCTTCAGTCTAATAAAGAAGAAAAGAAAGAAGGTACAGATGGATAGACTATTAGATATTTAGGGAATTCTGATAGTAATTTTAATACCTTATTATCAAAACACTTTGTAACAAAATTCCAGGATGACCCGTTTGAAGGACATCTTGAGAACGAAGCTCTGGACGGAGAGCAGTGGCGATCTGTACGCGACCTTCCTGTCGTCTGCCATCGATCTCGGAGCTCGACTGCCTTTGAAGCCAAGTGATGGTGAAGGGTACGTGCTCATTCCTTTTATCTTTTTTCCTTTATCTTCCTTTTTTTTCTTTTACCTTTATCTTTCTTTAGCTCTTGATACTTTTACTCTTGATTCGTTTGCACTTACTCATCCAGGTGTTTTTTAATCCAGAGTTGGCTAAATATGTTCTTCTTCTACTTTTGTCCTTTCCCTTAAAATTAGAACATATTTGTTTCCAAATACTGGAGAATATAGATGTATAAGTATTAGACATGTTTCACTGTTTCACGATTGACTTAGAGACGGTCAAAAAGTTGAAACTCTTTTACGCATAGTAGTCAGCCTACGTTCTATTGCAAAGGTCTTCCAATGTACCTACTTTCATAGTTTACTGCTACTGAGTACCTAGCACGAATAACTATCGCATTCGTAACATAATAGTATTGAGCGCGTTTGACGCTCTGATTGGCCGGCTTCAGTGAACCAACCAATCAGAACGGCGAACTCGCTCGATACTGTTACGATACGAATGCGATAATTGTTCGTGCTTGGCACTCTGTACCTTCTCAAACCATTATGCTCTCTTTTCCAGGTTGGTAGTCCGCCTCGGCAGTTCCATGCCATTCTCGCTGGAGCTGAAGAGGCTACGCGAGGAGGTGCGCCCTCTGTCCCGTCTGCCCAGCTGTCCCCGAGAGTACAAGCGGACGACCGTTGAACGACTCTTCAGGGACGCTGGGCTGACGCTGGACTGGTGCAGTTTTGAACTGGTATGTATACATTTTATTATAATGGAAATAAGTCGGTGATTGGCCATCATCTTGCCTGCAGCTGTAGCCAAATGCCATTTAGCGCTTGTCTACATGTAGAATAGAAAACCAAATTATATGGAATTGACGTAAATTTTGACACTTGTCAGTGTCATCCCCATACATTTAGTTTTCTACTCTCTCTGTAGACAAGCGCTAATGTGGCGTTTGGCTAAAGGTCCTGGCCAGAAACTCGGCGTAAAACAGTGATTTCGTTGTGTTTCACCATGTGAGTGTAATCACCAAAGCAGAGACCCAATTCCCTCCCCTCCTCAAAGAATGCCTCTCTGGTGATACGGGACTTCATTGATGGTACAGATAGCTTACCATCAGGTGTGTGTTGGTATCTGGTTGTTTGACTCCTATCCTCAAGTTTAGGTTTTTTTTATTAATTTTAATTTTATTAATTTTAGGTATTTAACATTAATGGCCACGAGAATGCCATGCTTAAATTGTTTTTTCTTCAATTCCAGTACAACACGATCTACAAGGAGCGCTCAACCCTTCACCTGGAATATTTGACTGAAGTGCCCAACACCAGTAAATCCGCCAAATCCTTCAAGGCTCTTGAAACCAAAGATATCTGGACCGCACCCAGCAAGGTATGTTTATATTTTTCCAGAACTTTTCCTTTTCTATCCTAGACGTTTTTTTAATTGCTTTTATAAAACTGCTCCAATTTGAAAATCCAAAGTACCTAAACTTTGGATTTTTGACTTTGACATTTTACCTTTACTTTGACATTTGAATTTGATTTAGATATAGAATTTGATTTAAGCATCAATGTTGATTTGTAACTTTGATGTTTGACTTTAACTTTCCACTTTCATTTTTTGTTCTCTGGCTTAAACTTTGACTTGATCAGTGATCATTCAAACATCAAAGTCGGTAACTAAAGTCAACTTAGTTGTTTTACTTTGACTTTTAACGTTGACACAGCAACAGCAACATTTAATCTCTGATTTTGACTTTAAATGTTTGATTTTGACATTTTATTCTTACTTTGACTTGTAATATTTATTTTGACTCTTAATTTTAACATTGACTTTTAATTTTAACTTTGATCTCCGACTTTGACTTTGACTTTACTTTCCGACTTTGACTTTAACTGTCAACTTTGACAGTGACATTTGACCTCGATAGAACCTTTCAATGTATGCGTGTCCCCCAGGAGTCGGTCCCGTCCCGCAGCTACCGTCGCGCGGCGACGGGCGCGGTGGTGGCCCCGCTGGTGTTGTTGCTGCTGTGTGTGTCCGCGCTGGCCGCCGCCGCCACCGCGCTGCACGCCTCCGTGTACGTATCGCTCACTAGCTCTATCTGCCCTGTACACTTGGCATTGGGGGGGGGGGTCATCTAATGACTTCTCTCGCCCGGGTGAGGTAGTATCAGACTCTTACTGACTAAATCCACCCTGTTCCTACTCGTACACTTCGAACCAGAGCCCCGGCAACCCGGTAAGTCATCAGCCCTATTGGACACCATCTATGATAGTTTGATTGCTCTTTGATATACTCGGGTTTAGTTCTGATCTGGCGGCGAGTCACCCATGCTCACCGTCCGCAGACCCGTACTTACGGTGGCCGGAGATCGTCCCCCGATCCCGACATCCGGAGTGTCTCTCGCGGCAGCCAGGATGTGAGGAGGTTCGTTCCTTCACGCGTCCAGGCTCCTCCTTACCTAGCATGGCCTTGGGGCTTCAAATGCACTTTTTTCGTGAGACAGAGAGGCAAACATGCAGACGGTTTACTTGATGGTAAGCAATCGACGCCACCCATCAACACGTGCAATACCAGAGGAATTAGTTAAGCATTGCCACCCCTTAATTGGGGTGAGGAATTTGAGGATAGAGGAGCATGGTTCTCCTACATGGGATTCGCTCTGTTCTGTAACTCAGTGGTGAATGAATCTAATGACAATTTTAAATTTTCAGCCGAGATCCAGTATCAGATAATTTTCTGGATGATATATTCCACATCTGTATTGACTATAGAAATAGAAGGAGGTTCGATATTTTATGAAATTATATTTTACTAACAAATAGATTGAAATTTAAAATTATTAATTCTGTAATGTGTTTGACGAAAGGCTTAACTTTTGTATTTATGAATATTAATCTAAGTTACTCTTAGCTTACCGTAGCAATTGATTCTACTAATAAAATTCTTATTTAAATCGTATAATTGTTTGTAATGAAAAAACTAATAATAAATACTTATCATCACGTCTTTTATCCCCGTATGGGAAAGAAGAGGTGCATATTACGGCACTTACCATACTCCCACTTTTCACTATTTATGTTATAAGTCCCATGTAATAGGGGGTGGGCCTATTGCCATATACCGGGCACAATTCCAGACTCCGTTCTATTCCTGATTTTTTTTTAATCCAGAAATATTTTGCCTGTCCTGGGAATAGATCCCAAGACCCCTTGTCCGGCATTTGCAAGTTGCGACCCCTAGGCCAACGAGACAGTGAGACACCAATAATAAACTACAGTAACAAACCATGCGTACAATAACCATCAATGAGAAACCAATGACTTCCCAAGGATAATAGAGCAATAAAATATTTCCAGGGCCCACAAGTCAAAAGTGGAAATGTGTCGTTACGGCACTGGCAACACCGAGCAGACACAAGTAGCTGACAACACTAGCACCAAGAGCCTTGGAGCGAGGTCAGTATCTGTATTGAGTTAATAGTTTAATATAATAGGTACTGTTGTTTAAGCTGCCTTCTAAGACTGGGGATTATGGTAAACTCATTAAGAATATAATTATTATTGTCATGCTCACTCAAAGATCTCATTATATTGAACAGTCGAAATAATTTACTTTTGACTAAGGAACGTACTAACATTCTATACCTACTTTTCACCAGTAATAGATATCAATTAACAATTCCATTCTGAAACCAACAAGCCTCATTTTGAATAACCGACGCGAAATGTGAGGCATCAAAAATTTAAAACCCATACTCTAGGAATAACCCATACACTATTTTGTACTCCCTTGACTCATTAACGGAATCCGTCGCAACTATTTTGCATCCTAAAAAATCTTCAAAATCAATACTCCCTCGTTGGCCGAGTGGTCGCAAGTGTGACTGCTGGGCAAGGGGTCTCGGGTTCGATTCCCGGGTCGGGCAAAGTATTACTGGGTTTTTAAAAATCTCAGTAGTGGCACGGAGTCTGGAAATGTGCCCGGTATATGGCAATAAGCTCAACCCCTATTACATGGGACTCATGACATAAATAGTGAAAAGTGGGTGTTACATTGTACAGTGGCATTAAGTGCCGAAATGTGCACCTCTGCCTACCCCTTCGGGGATAAAAAGGCGTGATGTTATGTTATGCTATGTCAATACTCCCTTTTTAAAATACTGACAAAATATCTATTTTATTACAGCCCCAACAACAGTCTCGCACGTCCCTACAGTCCTAAATCGACGACTAACCTGGCTGGCAACTACAACCGCCCGCAACCACCGCCCTATATGGGTTCAGCAACAAATTCTCTACACCATCGGAAATCAACAGACAGAACCCCATCAACCAGTGGCCATACTCCTGAACATCGTACCCATCTACTCGAAGAATCATTAAAGCTGCTAAATGAAGCGAAAATCGACAGCTTATCGATTAAAGATCCGATAATCGATTTGAACGATGGCACTGAAGATTATGTTCCGATTAAACCTGATGCTTCTGGCTACGTGTCAATGAAGGATTTGGATGACATTGATGTTCCCGATCTGGCTAAGTTTGGCATCGCTGGCCCCATATGACATGAGGTAATGGCGGGAGAACCGCCCGTTAAAACATGGTTTTGTTAATCCACTGTGCGATAACGCATTTTTTTTTGTTTTTTGATGTTGAACTATTTGGTCGTGTTCAAATAATACAATAGTAAAGGATTTTCTTTATCTGGATACTAAGCACACACTCTAATCGAAAAAAAAAAAAAAATTTTTATAAAAGGTATCAATAACATTTAAGGCAAATAGTTAAATAGTTTGCATACCGTAAAATGTTGATTACAATCTAATGAGTGGGAGGTTGTCTGATAATATTTGTAGTAATAATTAAATAAATAATTTTTATAGATATCAAAAGTAAATCTATACCAAAAAAGGAAAAAGGATTAAAAAACAGATTAATTTTGCACAAAAAAAATATCAAACTAAATTCAACAGTGAATTTGGAATGGTATTACAAATTTTAATAACATACTACTTATTACCAAGACCTAAAAATTACATTGAAAGTAAATAAAAATTTGCAATAAGTACCAAAATATTTCTTGCGACTACCACCTGCCTTGACATCAGTACAATAGAGTTGAAAATCATTTGACTTGACTATCAAAGTTTACAAGTAATCTTTTACAAAAGTTATTAAAATTTCTAATATCATTTCAACTGGAATATGGACATCATAAATATACATTTTTGGCGTAACTTTCAGACAATTCAATAATTTTTGCACTTAGTTGTAATCTAGTATTAATTAATGATATTATTATACCTATAACGATATTACTCGGTGATATTTTTTTAACTTGTTTTTTTAAATTTACATTCAACTTATTTTTTATTATGTTTTTTTTTATTTTTTTATTTTTTTTATCAATTTAAATTATCTTAAGTAATGTTATGTTTATTTTTCAATAAATATTATTTTTTATATGTTTTTGTTTTAATTTTATTACCTTTATTTTTATTTTGAATATGAAGAACATGAAAAAATTTACATTTTTTGACATCTGGCAGAGCTACTTAGAGTCTATCATGTGGGTATAAAAATATACCTAATAGGTAACGATAGATATAAGTTAAGAACTTGTACATATAACAAAATAAAGCTGAAATACTCGAATAAACTAGAATGGATCTTAATAAGTTAGGTTATAAGGTTATAAGATAGGTAATAAGCATAAGTAGGTACTCGCATATTATGTGCAGTTTTATTATAAGCAAAACAAAAAAAACACAAAACTTAACAAAAATAAAAAAAATACCAAAAAAACATTAAAAAATAGAAAAAAAAACAAAAAATTCCCACTAAAATGCAAAAAAAAAAACAAAAAAGGTCAGAAAAATTAGAACTTGGCTAATAAACTAATAGTCATAGTTATGAGTATTAAAAAAATATTACATTAAGGAAAAAATATCGAAAAATTAGTATTTAAGAATAAGTTTAAGTTCTATCAATAGTATTTTAAATTAAATTACATATTAGGGAACAATGTTGTTAAAGGATGGAAGGGAAATCATTACTTGAATTCCATCATGATAAGTCCACTAAGCGCAAAATCCACACAAAGACGTCTTCTCACACGGAGAAGGTTCGAGCATTAATCACCACGCTTGCTTAAGACTGGTTAGCGATTCCAAACTTATAATTAAAAATGATGATTTTCTTCACCATATGTCTAAGTAATCCGAAGTTACTTAATTACATAAATACATAACTTTGATTAAAACACAGTCAATAATTCTAATATCTTGTCTTCTTGTGACTCTTCTGATGTCTATGGGCGATGCTACCGTGGTATTCTGAAGGTAAATGGTAAATTCACCTAAAAAGACCAAACTTTAAATTAAAAAAAAAACACAGATCAAAATATCAAAACGTCAAAACACAAAATGTCAAAATACTCAGTACTCAAGTGTCCATTTACTCTTCCATCATCACCTGGTGGCGCTAGTATCGAGTTCAATATTCAAAACTTTAATCTCATCGCGGATTCAGCAGTGACTTTGCAAAATTAATCTTCAAAACAGCACGTCTAGATAATCGGTTACCATCTCATTGGACGCCTGTTTTTTAACTCTCGAAGCTCAAAAACTGACGTAAAATTCTGTATCTATTTTTTTATTTTTCATTTTAATAAAAACGTTGCCCCACACTAGGATTTTCTCCTGTGTCGTGGGTGCGTTTACAAACATACAAGTTCACATACACATGACACCCAGAGCCGGAACAACAATTCTGTGGATCACACAAAGAGTTGTTCCGTGCGGGAATCGAACCCGCAACATATTGCGCAGCAGCCAGTTGCCCAGCCACCGCGCCAACTGTGCAGTCGATCTATGCCTATTACAAGTCATGATGTATTTTCCATCCTTTAAATAGCATTTAATAGAATATCGTGTATCTAGTAAGAACAGGTCCATGTGGCATCATACGGTGAGCAACCAAAGATAGGTAAGAAAATCTCAGATCATGCTGTACATATAACCATGATCTTTTTAAGTTAGAATAATTAGAGAATAATAAATTCTATTTTTCTAAATAGGTAAGGTAGGATAACAAACGACATGTACGGTCACATCATGAAGGAAGAATACAATATATAAACTCCTTTGTGTCTGTTTTCGACTGCTAAATATAAGAAATTTTAATAGGAAGAAAGTAAAATTTATTTGCGATTACACATGATGAACCAAAATACACAAACATAAATGGTAAGATCAAAAAACAATACTACTTTCACTATTCAATACTACTACAATTTTGTTTATGGGCGGGACTGATAGCTTACCATCAAGCAATTTGACATCTTGTTTGATCTTCTCTTGCAAGAAATACAACGGATTATGAAATCATTCAAAATTCTACTTAAAAGTATCAAGACCCTGTCATGCAATGATCAATAGAAAAAAAACAAATTGAATAGGAGAAGAATTAAATTTAAAACATACAGGAAAGGTAATAAACACATACACAAAGAAGTTAATAAAACTTGTAAATCAAAATGGCTTCATACTGAAACTTTATAATAAAAAAGCTATCAATTGCACTTAAACAAAAAACAGGAAAACAAAATCTTAAATCTCTCTACTTAAATATTTATGGATAATCTCCAATGCATTTCGTCGAAAAATAAAATAGTTTTTACTATTAACATCAGCTACAGGAGCTTCATAATGTGACTGAATATGTATAGAAATAATAAAGGATAAGAAACAGTATGGGCGGCAAAATTAATTAAGAAATTATATTTTTATATTATTGATAAAAAGTTACTTATAGATTAATCATAAGTAATTATAAGTTAGGCTAACAAGAATCATATTTAGTCTCAATACGGGAAAATGACATCTTTTAACAAGTCTCGTTTATACAATTATGTAAATCAACACTTTAAAGACAATAGTTAACATCTATATAAAATTTCAACTGCAATTTTTCAAGTCTTACGTAAAAATACCCCAATAGTTGGTACGTTACAGTCGATAAAAATACGTTAAGTTGGGTCATATTGAATTCTGCAATAATGGTTAATGAACACACTATTTTATCGTCTATTTTAAGCCAATTTCAATATCCGAAAATTACTTTAGTAGGTACCTAAGTACATATACAAAAGTAGCGCAAAAATAAAATATATAACCTAACCATATACAGATGAGAGAATCACAGATGAAGTCAGTATTAAAGAATTGGTCGATCCACCACATAAATATAATAAAGATTAATATTTCTGCGGTAACTACCTCTAGTTCACTCAACTACCTATTTTTATTAATTGTAATAAGGGTTAAAACAATTCAAAATAAAATTACGACACAAAAATTGCTACCTTAATACAAAGTTTAATTCAAAATTACAATTATTTTAAACTCATGAATATAAAACAATGTGGCTGCATGGTTGGCGCGGTGGCTGGGGAACCGGCTGCCGTGCAACTTGTAGCAGTTTCGATTTCCGAACGGAGCAACTCTTTGTGTGACGCACAAATTGTTGTTTCGATTAAAAAAAGCAATGTTACCGATAACAGTTGTCAAAACCATTTTAGAAATCAATCGAAAATATATATATATTCGTTGACTTTTCTTGTCAAAATTCACTACACCTAAAGATTGACATTTTAACTCGTATTGTGACTCTATATGAATATTTAAGACCTACGCAATGAGCTATAATATTGTACATACATACAAACAATGACATACTAATCAAAAACTAGCTATACAATCTACTGGATCGCGATGTACATATAGCCGTGGTCTGAATAAGTTAGTATAATAATTAGACAATAAGAAATTATATTTTTCTAAATAGATAGATAATAAACTAAAGATTATAATTATTATAAGTATTTATAAGTTAGGCTTATAAATAACATGTAAAGTCATAGTAGAAAATATTTCGTCAGCTCATTAGTAACAGATTAACTTTCAACTGTTCAATGTAAATTCCAAATCAATAAACATATGTAGGTATAAGAAAGCACATGACAGTCAAAGTCAGTCAAAAATAAAGTCAGTTAAAATCGAAATCAATGTCCAAAGTCAATGTCAATGTCAGTATCAGTGTAAAAGTCGATGTCAAAGTCAAATTCACAGTCAGAATCAAAGTCAAATACAAAATGACTGCATTACGCCGTAAAAACCACAACAGAAAAATAAAAAAACAATTCTTACACCTACTTTGGTTAAATCAACACAAAATATACTTCAAAGTTATCACAAGGTTTTAATGTCAATAGTATCCAATATTAAAATATTACGTTCTATGAACGTTACGTATAACATTAAACTTGTTCACAATAATAACCCGTCGTTTTTGAGATGGAGGCTAAAAAGATTTTTGCCAATCAAATCAACCAAACACAATACTGTACATCATTGACAGGAGAGCCTTCAAAGCTTTAGAAACACATAAAAGAAACGAAGTACCTCAGAGTGAATCGTTTATTTACCTCGAACTAAGCAACCTAATGCTTTGCTGGTAACGAAACCATAGCTTGCATTTAAATCGGCCAACGCCATCTATTGAG